TAGAGAATGCGACGCTAAATTAAATGATAGTGATGGATAGCTCCTCTCTATAGAAGAAGTAATAGCAGCTGAATGTATCTCGACTTCTGCTCATCTGAAATTTTATTTATTTGGAAGTGAATAAGGCAGCTTAGAAAGGTAGCTCAGGGAGAGACTCGGCGCCGACTTGAGCCATAACACACGACCGAAGACAGACCCTGGACGGGCCAGAGTGACCTTGTCACGCAACGAGAGTGGCAAGAATCACTGAGTCACACAGAAGGGGAACAGAGCTGTCCCATCCGAGGAAATACAGAAGAACAGGGTCATCCAACGACACAAAGTGAAGAAGCAGAGCTTAGAAGTGACACAGAGAAGAGCACAGACACGTATCTGCAAGGGCTGAGCCGTTTAGTTACAGAATCTGCTGCTACATGCATTTAAGCAATTTGGCAATAAATCGCACCACACAGAGCTAGAGTGTATCAAACATCAATGTATAATAAAATAAACTTCTTCATAAAGGTGTTGTTCTACCGCTGGGACAGAGAGAAAGGATTCCCGCTTCATTAGCGCTTGTGAACATCCTCTTCTCCCAGCGTGCTGATGTTGGAGGACAAAAGTGCCAACAGCAGTTTGTGAACACGAGCACATTCACACGGTTACATGCCAGCCTCTGTCTGAGACCACGACTGACACGGTCTGTGGTCCCGCTCTGTCCGTCTGTGCTGCGTCGGGACCCGTCTCATTGCGGCCTGCCATTAAGTTAAAGGGCATAGCCAACCAGCAGTTTACGTTCTGGTACCCTATCTGGAGAAAAGGGGCTTGGCAAAAAGAGAGGAGAGCCACCAATGACGGATCACCTGACGGAAGCACTAGCCAATGAGGGCCAAAGAGGCGAAGTTGCACCCCGGCCCTCAGAGAGGAGCCTTGAGTTCACATGCTGAGCTCATACCTGCACAGGGCTGCTGCTATGTGCAGCCACCCGGCTGAAGGTGACTGTGTCACTGTCACGGTTCTGTGGCGTCATTTCCCCCAGAGCTCACAGGAGTCTGTCCAGCATGGTGATTAAGACAGAGAAGAGCCACTTTCAATGTAATGTACACACAGGACATTTCTGGCACCAAACTGATCCAGACTGACCCAAAGCTTCGACTAACACTCAGAGCATATTAAACTCTAATTCTGTGCAAGAGTCTGGTCTGATGGCTGAAGTGAAAATACCAGCCTTGGGGTATCGAAGGACCCCTCCCTTAGAAGCATGTCAACACTGACTGCCAGGACAACCACCACCACCATCACCCCCCCAGCCTGTGAAGTGACGACTCTCATTTCCTGAAGGATGCGTTCCTGCCCACACAGACGGCAGCAGGGGGCGTTTGGGGTGTGATGCAGTCGGTCTGCTCTTACACACTTCGATGAAGGAAGGAGATACAGATTACAGAGGATGTAACTGTACCTATCCTACACACACACACACAGACACACACACGCTTCGACACACATACACACACACAGACACACATACACACGCACACACACACACACACACACACACGCTTCGACACACATACACAAACACGGACACACACCGACAGATACCGCCACCGACGTCCCCCACAGAGCTGGTAAAACAGATGTTTCAGGTGCACGGCGAGAGGCACACTGTGCGTAGGGGGTGACCCTCAGTGACAGCTGGCTCGGGGTGTGTGTAGGCGGGGCCAGCAGCGGCACAGAGCACTTGTCATTGGACGCCCTTTGCCGGCACACAGAGGACTGCCATCTGTGAGGGCTGGCAGTGCCACGGCATCCTGGCAAGCTGCTGTTTATGCCGCTTACTGACAGCGAGCACGGCCCCCAGGTTCACCTGAGCTCTCCCTCCGAAGGGAAGGAAAGCAAACATTTACCATTTTAAAAGTACACAAAAGGCCACAGCCCAAGCCACCAGCCCCCCACGCCTTCCCACACAATACTTATCAGCAACACAAACTTTTTAGGGATAAATAACAAATAGCAGGATAAAGATATCAGGCCCGGGTCCCACCATAGGAAGAGCAGCTAAGGCTCACTAAGATGAAAAGATGCCCTCCCCCCTTTAGGATGAGAAGCTAGGGGCCCCTTCAAGATGAAAAGCCACCCCCCCCCCATTTAGATGAAAAGCTGGGGGCCCTTTAGAATGAAGAGCTGAGGCCCCCTTTAGGATGAAAAGCCAGGGGGCCCTTTTAGGATGAGAAGCCAGGGTCCCCTTTAGAATGAAGAGCTGAGGCCCCCTTTAGGATGAAAAGCCAGGGGGCCCTTTTAGGATGAGAAGCCAGGGTCCCCTTTAGGATGAAGAGCTGAGGCCCCCTACTGGATGAAAAGCCAGGGGGCCCTTTTAGGATGAAGAGCTGAGGCCCCCTACTGGATGAAAAGCCAGGGGGGCCCTTAGTATGATAAGATGAGGCCCCTCTTTAGGATGAGAAGCTTGGGGAGCTGAAGTGCAGCACCCACCCTCCCCGAGGCATACTTACAAAGAGGCACACGACGAGGGGCGGCTGAAGCACAGCGCCCCCCAGAGGTCGTACTCACAGAGGTACGACGAGGGGCGGCTGAAGCACAGCGCCCCCCAGAGGTCGTACTC